CTTTTCGTTTACTTCATCTGATCTTAGTCAAGCAACATTTTATCATGAAAAATAAATATAAAATGGTTCTACCTACAGTGATCGCTGATGCAAATAATTACATAGTTCAATTCCAAGAACCTCTCGGGAGGGAAGGCTTGAACGATAGCGAGAAATTTTAATACCATTAACTACTTTTAACCGAGAGTGAGGTCGTTTCTGGAAAATCTTAAATTAAGGCCTTGCCAAGCGGAAGTCGTCAATTTATATCCGGCGATAGGCGTGTTCATCAACTCAAACCTTCGGTAAAACTAGACAATCAGTGAACTGCACCACTTTATTCCGTCAAGATACACATTTATTTTCGGGAAAAATTATTCTGAGGGCTTTATAAAAGTATTTAAGTATAGTGGTGCCACAGCATCCGGTCCGAGGTGAAAGAAAATGCAAATGCTTCGGAATGCACTGTTCAGAATATTTCATTCTTCAAGAATGTTGAATTCAATTAGAGATCCTCAAGCAGAAAAATAATAACCTGACTAAGTACTTTAATAAGAACTTGAGTAAGAACTTGATAAGAATTACTTAGTAAAGCGTAAAAGATAAAGCATAAAAGATCTTTAAGAGATACTACCTCACTTGGTTTAGTGGGCAATATGTCTTCAGCAACAGGATTGCATGCTGCTGCAAAAGACTGGACTGATCTTCCCCTCTGTAGTTTCATGAATTAAGATTTTAACACAATTTTTAGATTAAGACATCGAAAAGCATAATTTTACCTCTCATCAGTATGCATGTACCTTTTATTTATTTTAATATATATATATATATATATATATATATATTTATCCTTATAAATAGGATTTTACTCTTATTCTGTTCTTTAGATGAATATATATTTTTAGGTTTATATCTTATAATTATAGTGCTGATCACCAGGTTACACCAGCTGTTCTCGCTGGGTTAAACTGATTGGTTTAATCAGGATAAATATTATTACAATTATACTAATTTGGAAAGACCTGAGTAAGAACTTGATAAGAATTTGAGTAAGAACTTGAGTAAGAGCTTGACAAGAACTTGAGTAACAACTTGATTAGAAATTGAGTAAGAACTTGAGTATTTTCTTTAATAGGAACTTGAAAATTATGTTTCAAACTATAAAATAGATGGTGAATAACTTAAGACAGAGGCTTAACTCAGCTCAGAAGCACCAGTGGGTCAACTGGTGACTTCAACTGATAAGAATAAACCATAACCAAAGAAAACCCTAAAAGAGTTGAAGCTCTGGTAAAATACTTGCCGAACCCAACAGAAGAGTGAGAGGGTTGAAGAAGCAAAACTCAGGTGGAAACTCGAATGACAGTGCTGTTTCTGATCAACGCGAGAAGAAACATGAAACATCATCATCATCCCATCATTCACACTCATTCAGCATCAAGTATAAGTCCCTCATTGGCTGGAATGTATTATAAACTGAAAGAGAAAAGGTAATTGCTCTGATCGAAAAAACAAAAAAAATCCAGTTACAAAAACTGAACACCTCGGTGCCAGTCACTGTCTGAACAGGTAAAAGATATGGTTTATGTTCCCGTCCCTCAGAGACTGACCATGGGAATGAGACCATGGATTGGAAGTTATTTATCTTAAACAAACTAACGGTGTCTGATAAAACGCTCATGAAAACAATGACTGATGCAGTGACAATAACTGGAATTCCAGCTAGATATGAATGGATCACAAAGAAGGCAATCAAAGAGTCAACGATTTCTGTCCAAATTCCAATGACAGTCTATTTGAACTTTTACAATGCTTGTTGCTGCTTCTCCTGCGACAAAAAATATCTGAAGACCAGAATATTTTGCCCAAGCATTACAAAATAGTTAGCGGATTCGTAGCAGTTGTTTTAAAATTTGGTGCACTCTGCTTGCTTGCCGAGATAGCGTTATACTATATCCAAGAAAGGGAAAAGTGGATTTGAGAAAGGATTCGACGAGAAGGCTAAGAGAATACGAAAGTCTTCAAGATGAAAATTATGCTAACATCAAGGAAGCGAAGCTTGAGCCTCAGCAACTAAAAGGTCAAAATACAAACCTCCAGATAAAATAAATAGTTAAAAAGAAAATGGCGAGCATGGTAACACTGGTTTGAAGGGCGATCATCAATGTAACAGCAATTGTTGATGGATGTTATCTCACTAAATATCTCACTTTTTGTCCCATATGAATCACATGACTTCATTGGTTTCATGCTGGTGTAGCTCAGTTGGAATCTCCGAGGTCTAAAGTGATATCTTGCCATTGTTGTTGCGGTACCCATAATTTTTTGGATCACCCGAGAGAATCAAAGAGTCAACGATTTCTGTCCAAATTCCAATGACAGTCTATTTGAACTTTTACAATGCTTGTTGCTGCTTCTCCTGCGACAAAAAATATCTGAAGACCAGAATATTTTGCCCAAGCATTACAAAATAGTTAGCGGATTCGTAGCAGTTGTTTTAAAATTTGGTGCACTCTGCTTGCTTGCCGAGATAGCATTATACTATATCCAAGAAAGGGAAAAGTGGATTTGAGAAAGGATTCGACGAGAAGGCTAAGAGAATACGAAAGTCTTCAAGATGAAAATTATGCTAACATCAAGGAAGCGAAGCTTGAGCCTCAGCAAATAAAAGGTCAAAATACAAACCTCCAGATAAAATAAATAGTTAAAAAGAAAATGGCGAGCATGGTAATACTGGTTTGAAGGGCGATCATCAATGTAACAGCAATTGTTGCTGGATGTTATCTCACTAAATATCTCTCTTATTGTCCCATATAAATCACATGACTTCATTGACATAAAACCATTCCACACATTCCATTCTGGTGACGTCATCACTCACAGACTGAGCAACTCCTCCATCATCTCGAGGTCTTCGTCCTCCATGTAGTGGTATCCGCATGGATTGGTGACGAAGGAGGTAGAATCAATGACTCTTGTCAAAGGCGAGACCTTACCGTTTAGTCTGTGGGACCGCTTGGATGCGTTTGGATGAGGAGTCGCGGCTGAAGAAATCTGGGCTGATCAGTCACATTTCTTCGATTACTGTCTCCAAGAGGATGTTAGATTTCATTCAACATGTTTGTTTTCATGGTGTGTAGCTCAGTTGGAATCTCCAAGGTCTAAAGTGATATCTTGCCATTGTTGTTGCGGTACGCATAATTCTTTGGATCACCCGAGACAAACTCTGTCATGAAATTGCCATTATACAACTCATTTGGTATCTCACCTAGAAAATCACCAAGAGGAATGTCCGGCAATCCATTTAAACATGACAGAGTCGGTGTCACACGACAAGACTTGTTGGTTCAGGATTTTCAAAGACTTGTGGAGTTTGAATCTTACTTGATCGGTGATAAAAGCAGCCAAAAAGATATTTGTTTTGTCAAAGTGTGGAGCATTTTCTTGTGAATGGGTAGAACGTGTCGTCATTGACGATACGGATGGTGTGGATGTGTTTCTTTTCGTTTTAAACCACTCGAAACAGAAGATGTGGTGTTTGCTCAGAGATGACTTGACGTTTGTTTATCCACTAACCAAGCTTACACCAAAACGAATTGAGTAAGAGCTTTAATTAGCAGTGGTTCTTCGACCGGGATTCTTTACAATCATGGGAGGGTCCAACACCAGGTTTTTCCTTTCTTTAGAATGGGTCACCCGGTGATCTTTGTTTTCTTGTCTTTCAACTCATGAAGGGCACCCTGATACTTCTTGCTTGTTTTCCAACAAGGAGCAATACAAGGTTCGGTTCAGAATGGATTTGGAGTGTTCCTCTTGTACACACGCTTTACCCAAAGGAATCGGGATTATACCGTCATTTCTCAGTTCTAACCAAAGATGGAGCATTTCTTTCGTAGGCAACACGTCTACTTTGGCCATCCCATAGTACTGGGGGCTTTGTGTAGAACATCATCGTCTCATTGAAGATCCAAGACTGATGTACGTCTTGTATTGACCTCCCCATTATAAGTGAGATGTTACTGTGGGGGATACCCCATCCCTAAGATCTGCCTATATCTTATGAAGGTTATCATATACCCGTTATATAGGGCTAGGGTAACCATGCCATTTTACAGTCCCGGTACACGACTGTTCCGTAACACGAAGAACCGAGATGTGACAATATAGACAAACTTGATTAAGCTTGTCTTTTTACTCTGCGCCGCTTTCGCTACACTTTCCCCCTAAGATCTGCCTATACTATTCGATGGAAATGATATACCCATAATATGGGGACATGTTAACCATGCTATTTTACAGTTCCGGCACACGACTTATCGGGAACGAATCGAGAGCTGTTAATATAAAAAAAATTAATAAAACTTTAACCATCCCATTTTACAGACCCCGTAGACTGCCAATAAACTGCAATGATGTACTAGTCTGTAAAGAGACAATAATGAACAAATGCAATCTCTTTGTTATTGATATATCCAAAATAAGAGGGCGGGTTAATCACGGCAGTTTGTTTCGAAGTTATATTAGAACTCTAAAACGAGGACGAAATTTATCGTCAAATGTGTTGGAGCAATACTAGTCGATCCTTCGTTCTTCATAATCACTTGAAGAACTGCCTGCAAATAAATAGGATGTCCGGATAGAAATGAGTTTTCAATGATTGGTGGTTGTCTAAACTCAGCTAACAGTATAAGCTTTTTATGTGCCTAGAAATGTATTTAGGAATGACAAAATTTTGTCGGTTGGAAAAAGTAATACTAGTTATCGATAAATATGAACGACTCTAGCGACAATGACAGTAATAATGACACTAACAACAACAATAATAATAATTGTAGCTATGTCAATAATTACAACTACAATGATTAGAGTAATAATAAGAACAAATGGGATATATTATTTCATCATGGCCAGAGCCGTGTTTGCCTAAGAGTGTCATTACAGCTTATTGGTTTATCAGATCATGAAAAATATAATGGAAAACTAGGCACTTGTGTGAAAATACACATGTAAGTTTATGTAGCATCTTTCATGCGATATTTGGTTCTTCTCGAAGACTTGAACAGATCTGGTTTGTTGGTAAGTATCACGTAAAAAGTCGTTTGGGTTACCCCTTGTAGCTGTGTCAATCAAGCTTTTAAGCTGAAACACTTCCTCCAAATTAATCATCAGCTTTCCTTCTCTTTCCCTTGGTTTCATTATGTCTGAGTTTAGATCCCCTGCAATGATGACAGTTTGGCGTTTGGAGATGGCCCGTTCCCATTCGATGTTATCAATGCTTACGAAGGGCAAAAGTATGAACGTAATTTTTTTCTGTTAGATGCTACAAGAAGTAACTCATATCGCTTAAAAAAAAATCAATAACCGCGAAGCCTCTTTCTTTAGTTTGTCGTTGGCGTTCATTTTCATCCGGTCTATACAAATCCTGTCAGTGTAATTGTAGCCCTAGTGTGCTGAGCTTGATTTAGAATGTTTGGTGAAAAAATAGTCTATGCCGGTCTAGCTGAAATAGAGGAAATTAGTACGCCCATGCCCCTTGTTGTATCCAAGACCTCGCCCACAGCTTCTTCCAGTGCGGACCTCAAGCTTGTTGAGGTATGAATTTTCTAATTCTAATGAAAGGAAACAATATTGCGGTTTGCAGAAAGAACTAAAAGAAGTGACCGCTGTTTTGAGCAGTTCTTCTCTGGAGAGCACGCCGGAGAAAAAGAAAGGATCTGTAGATCATAGAAAATTTGCACCAAAAGAGTCTAGGGAAAGGTAAGTTTGTGAAAAACTTGTACCTTGCGAATTTCTACTTCTGTTTTAAACCCCCAACCATATTTATATACATCGTGTTCTCCAAAGAAATAGCCACTGTTTTATTATCAATTATTTCTAGGTCTAAAGCAAGGAAGTTCAGACGCGTTTAGTACCGAGACAAGGAACAGATAGAGACCCCCCTCCTGAAATTTTGTGACCTTTGAAGATCTTGAGGTAGATGACTACGGATCGTATATAAATAATGAGTCACCAACGCATACCTTTGAGTGTGATTTTATGGTTGAAAAATTAAGTAGGTGTAAACGAAAAGCTACCAAAATAATCGCATGTAGTGATTGCTATGATCTTCATAGAAAACACCTTAAATGTTCTTCAGCACCAGACTTTTTAAGAACCATTTCTTTTTGCTTAACTCCGTCAGGGAAGATCCTGAATGAGGTGGCCTTAATTCAATATAATTTTAAAGAGACTGAACACGACTTTCATCTTTTGGCGCATGGGAATGCAAACGTAAAATGCAAGGCTCCTAACCAAAGAACGAAGGACTCAACAAAGGCGCACTCAAGGAGAAACCTTAAAGATAACGCTTGTATTTGTGTTGCATTTGCATCTTTTATTTCCTCCTTTTCTACAAATTAGAATCTAATGAATAATTACAAGAAAGATAAGAAGATCGAGAAGAGTAACATAAGGCGAGGTAATAAGATGCCCCTTACGTTAAATTATATCTTTTCAAATAGTAAAACGAAGCGATACAAATATGAGGGGGAATAGGAATCACAACTAAAGAGCGACTTTTTTAAGACCGCGTGAGAGGTGGCACATTGACTGAAAAATGACTATCTTCATATTTCAGTCAGAGACACGTTATGGTGAATATGGAAACGTGGTAACTTCTTTTTTTCCAGACTTGCTTCTTTATCCTAGAAAATTCACGAAAATTGAAACGAGCGTCGGTAGCCGTAAAATGGCGGAAATAAGTGACCCGAGTAGAGGCAAATGAACATTGCTCATGAAAAGCGCAAAAGAAAGCGAGCCCATATCAATTTCATAGATTTGTATAGGAAGGATAGAGGTTTGGTTTTAGTGCCAATGTCTGAGAAAGTGTTCCAAGGACCAAACGCGGTGGTTCACAGATTCGGCTGAAACTTGGCACAAAAAGTGAGTGTTATAAAATATTTCAAAAGCCACTTTGGTCCACTTCTCTGATTGTTTGTTCTGAAGTTTCAGGAGGGGTCCCATTTGTGGCTCTTAGAGTACCAGAATCTAGCCTTCCCGGAGGCATTTTGAAAGTGCTATAAAACTCCATTGGTAAATTGTGATACCAAATGAATCAGTTAACCATGGACTCTACTATAGTGGAGCTTTTACTTCATAAACGTAAGTTTGTTCTCAAATGATTAGAAAGAGAGGGGTCTGGGGCTAAAGTTAGGTCAAAATCACTACCCAAAATTGCCATTTTTCAAAAAACCATAACATTCACCTATCTCCTTGCATAACTTTCATACCAAATCCAGAATGTATCCAGAATGTGACCCATTTATCAAAATCAGTCGAGAAAAATTTGGCTTACTAAGGTTTGTTAGGTTTTTGGCACAAACTCTCCATGCCCCTCTAGTGCCAAGCAAAATGGAATTTTGAGCATAATTCATGCTATGAACGGACCAAATTCGCGACATAAAGCCTTTATTTTGTATTTGGTGAATGAAAATGAAACATTGAAGCCAAATCAATGTCATTATCTAAAATTACCTCGACTCGTAGCCTGCAAATGCTCTAAGAAGGCCTCTGATTAGCAATACAAACATCCGGGTTTGGCAAAATACAGGTACTTTTTTTTCTTTGAAATCATAGAGCACAAATGATGATGTTCTCACCTAGATATGACAATATTTTTTAGGACATAGCTAGCAGAGCCGCGCAATCCAATTCATTATACGTAAGCGTGCTCGAAATCCCGATAGTGCACGCTGATAGCATGAGCAAATCGCTTCGCCAGAAAATTTTTTTTTTTGCGCGAGCGGCCATTGTTAGCGCGGGGAAAAATAATATATTTTGCGACAATAATGTATACAAACAGAGACTCGGCCCACCAGTCCTAAAACTAAGACAATTTCCGACCTTTTCCCTTGGGTTAGAGTTCTTAAATGTGGCAGAAAAAAAGAAAAACAACGGAAAAGGAGACTCGGCATCAGCGCCGTCACGATTCGCTTCACTGTTCGAGGGTGAAATGCAACAAATTTTGACAGAAAGACACTCTGGTAAAACCAAACAAATGACAAACTGGTCTGTTTCAACCTTCAAAGGTAAGCTTAAATTTTTCCGTTTCAAAATTGTTAAATATATATTTACAGTTGTTCTCGGGAATAGTAAAACTCACGGAAAAATTGTTTGCGAAAGGATTAACACATTTAATTACATCAAATTACAGATGTAGCAATAACAGTCTTTCTGTCTGGTTTTCCTTCATGAAAATAACTTTCAAATGGTTTCTTTTTAAACTCATTTCGAAAAGCTTGACCTCTGACAGATCCGAATCTCTTGCCACTGTCACCGCCATAAACATACAGAAAGAAGTGCAGGAAAACGGCCTCGTTGTGTCCACTACAACTGAGAAAACCACAACCGGCTTCGGATCTTTCTTTAACAACTGCTGCGTTCAAAATGTCCACATCACTCTTGGATCAAATTTTAGCCACACTTGTTGACATTTACTGTTATACTGTTCTCAGTGTTTACTCAGACCGTTTTGCAATGGTCTATTTTCGGTAATCGATATACGTTTTGAAGCATTTTGACTTATTTTAACTCTTCTCTTGCCCGAAGTGTTCGTTTTCTCAGAGAAACAGAAAATGTGGTGTGTTATAAATTAACCAATTAAACCGCAGAGTTTATTCTCTGTCTTTAGGAGAATTTTATATTTAATCAGGAAATAATTGTTAAATAAAATATCCATTCTTGAGCTTGATTTATTTTTTAGAAATAAAGAATTAAGTATTTAAACTCCAGTAAAATAAAGCTCGAGCCTTAAACAGAAAACTCGACGTAAAACTATTTCCTATTTTGCTTAATATTTCGCTTACCGTGAACAATCAATTCTGATATTGTTGACCGTTTTTCGTGTCAGATTTGATGCAAAATTCCACCAGCTATGTTCTAAAACAATTGGTTCATGCTTTTAGCTGTGCACTATCGAGTTATGGAGCACTTGGGAAGTTTGGAGAGCACTTGAGAAGCTAGAGTTCCCCTCCGCTATCGCCTCGGGCAACTCTTACGCTTCTTTCGTGCCCTCCAAACTTCCCGCATGCTCCATAACTCAATAGAGCACGCTAAAGCATGAACCAATTGTTAATCAAAGATGCTCGAATTTCCTCTGACTTATATTTTTCAGGTCATATTTCCATACATATTATACTCATAAGCATGCAAAGTCTCTATATTTTGTCGGGTCCACTTTTTGATGCAGTTTGAAATGAGCTTAACGAAAACGACCGTTGACAGGATATGTACGGTTAAACTTTTGATAGCCTTGCTAGCTCTTGTAAATACGCATGATGGCATCAGTAAAAGAGCAGGATGATACATACAAGTTGTAGTGAGTAACGTCCAGGTGACTTGTGATCCATCCAATTTCCCTGTTACTTTAGAGCTGAGTAAGTCAAATCATCCGGCACTAAATAAGAAATCCACAGTAAGGAGAGCTGGATAACAAATATTGTTTTTTGTAGCAGATTATATGAAACATTCTATCGACTGGCCCACCATATTGGACGTGGTGAGAGTGAGAGGACTGGACCAAGTGGAGGAGTCACGCAACCTTCACTGAGTTTTGAGTAACGCGAGTTTGTTTACCACGACTTGCGGCAATCACAGGAATTTGCTAACTGTAGAAAAGTTTCATAATGCGACGCCTTACGATTAACAACACCTCTAATTTCAACGTCAAAAAACTCGCACAATGACTGTAGTTGACTGAGTTTTTGCTTTTGCAACACTTTGGCTAATCTTCCCTTAGCAGAGAGTTCGCGAAAGTTAATATCTTCATACAAAAGAGAACTGGAAAACAACCTAACTATTTTTGTAACATGTGTCCTAAACCCTTTTCATAGGAAAAAAATTAAGGAACATTTTTTTTTGGAAGTTGAGAGGACCGCTCCTAGCGAAAGGGGCACTTAAAAAGCCATTTTCTACGTTAATGGGCGTGTATGAGCCCTTTCTGATATTCTGAATTACCTGTAATTGTGGCTATGGTATCACCCTGTCTTTTCATCAAAAAATTCTCTTCTCACTAAGTTTTTTTTGCTTGAAAATACATCTCCTTGCAACCCTCTCACCTCGTGCTTGGGTTTTCCCGCTCAAAATTCATTGTAGGGAAAGAGTCACTAATGATCACAAGTTTGTCTTTTATTTTATGTAGCTGTGGTTATTAACTCAATCAAATCATTTTTACTTAGCGTACTAATTGACATTCTTTTTTTAATTTTTGATGTTCAAAAAACATTGAATCGGTGTCAGTGACGTTGTACACCAATTAATTCGCAGCTTCACATCTGGGGCTACCCACGAGCTTTTGACTGTCGTCCTTTGAACCTTACCAAGGCGGGAAAGGGAATTTGAACCGGAAGGGTAAAGTCTTG